TCAGCAGAAGACTTAGTTTGTCACTGGCAAGAGCCTATCCTGCAGCTAAGCTGGTTCCCGTCGATCAATTAAAATGCTCTTTGGTGCAGTCAAAAGTCGATAGATACCATCCTCATGTTAACTCCAACTGTGTTTACCAATTTAACGTGTATCTGCGGCAGCAGTTACATTAGGAGAACGGAAATAAGGGCACACCCTCAAAATTTACGAATATGTGCGGGAAAGCCTACGTCTCAAGGGAACAAACTCTTAAAATAGCACTATTACCAGACATCTTGATACGGGTCATGAGGTGGAAATCACGAAATCCTTTACAATTATCAATAAACAAAGTAGCTCGATTCTCCTCAAGTTTGCTGAAGCAATCTCTATCAAACGCTTGAAACCATATTTATGTGTTCAGAAAGAAGCACTTATTAATCTTTCCTTGCCCTGATAACTGGATATATTTATTTTTTCATTCGATTACATAATCTTTGGCTTTAACCTCACATCGCTTTTATAATTTGTAATTTTGCTTGTCTCGTGTTTCTGCGATTTGAATTGAACTCAGTCCCATAAGTTTATGTCGAACTCAGTACATTATAACCTAATTTATGAGTCACTCAGCACCCTACGCATCTCTTGTCTTTATTACGCAACTCCTTTACCGTTGTATGCATACATTTATTTTGTTTAAACTTGAACTGCCTGTGTAAAAACTATATAAGCGTAATTTTCTGAGCACTGTTTACTAATTGTGGAACTTTCTGTCAACTGACGACATGTAAAATTTGCAAGTAGGTTAAAACTTTTCTGTAGTTAAACCTCATAATTTATTTAGGCTGTAAGCAGCTGATGAGGGGCCAAAAAATTATTGATGGTACCATATTATTCTGCACAAACCACTGTTGTTCTTGCTTTATTCAAATTCATTAAGAGGAATAAATGCATGAAGATGATGGATTGTCGATTTTCACGGATAGTATGACGTATACTAATACAAGATTTTATGCCTAAGACTCCTATAATATTTGTTCTGAGTAGACCAAAGCAAAACACCAAATAGATCGTCCAGAGTACGAACTATGTTTCACGATCCATATCGTAGTGCGAGAATGACTGCCTAATCATTTAGGGGTCGTTCACATTTTGACGGAAGTAACACAACAACGTACCGAATGGCGTGGATGCTTGACCGCGAGTCTTCAGCTTAAACAGATGAGGTCAGCCGAGTGACAAGTGCTGTAGGCTAATAACCTTGGGGGATTATTTATCCCTACAGAAGTCTCTTATCAACTGTTCCAACCTTTATGTCCGTGAGGTGTCCTAGATATTAGCTATTTACATAGTTAGGCAGGAACAGTTTGTTTAAGGAAGGAAAATGGATGTGAAAGTTATAACTTCATGAGTGCCTCCTTGATAATCGAGTAGTTATTTCTATCAACACTTTTATTGTTTTCTTCCTGCTGTCTCAAGCTAACCAAATAGCATATCTAAGATCTCCAAGAGTTGATTTGTAAGGATTAGATCTGTTTTTCTAGTTTGACCACAGATTGATATCAGTTAGAGAAGCGTTGAAAACCAGGGAGTACCGGACAGCTATTTCATCCTAGTTTGGGAAGCATCGGCAGTACGCGCCCACTGGGGTTCGAAACCAGGACCTCTGGGTCTCAGTGTCTGAATGGTATACGAGCTTGCCTTCTATTCCTCCCCTGAATTCGATTATCTGAGCGCTTCATTTTATCGCAGGCTTAGGATTCATCTGGTTTCTTTTGTTTTTGAACATATAACTAGATTTTAAACTCAATTAATTCATTAAGTCAAGACTTTAGATGCTTTATCCGTCACATCGCTATAAATCGTCTGTAATCATAGCCATATATTCACTCTTTCGTCTTTCAGACACTTAGTGTACATCGATCTTCATTAAGTAGTTATCTTCCCAGCCCATACATCTTTGACTACTGCAGTTTCACTGCATTTCTTTCGCCCAACTTTATGTATACTTTTCCAAAATGTTGCAACCTGGACTGTTTCACTTTTATGCAAAGTTTTACTTTGTTGAGCCAGTCAGTCACATTGTATTTTGATAATGATCTTATAAAGTTTCTGGTATATACTTATAAGTTGTTGTTCATCGCCCTCAAAAATGGTTTGATTTAATATTCCATTGTCCTCATTAAATTTATTCAGATTTTCGGAATTAATATCCGTCTTCGCATAAAATTATATCCCTACTTTAGGTGAATGTATGCTGCATGAAAATGGGTTTCAGGATATTCTGTTCATTTCTTCGACTGACTATTATAACAGTGTTTCACACACATCTGAGGTAATAAGGTCAACAAACCCTACTCACAAGGCCAAAAATTCTCAGAGTATCAGTAGTCCGGTTATTATTCAACCCAGATGGAGTTAACCGGAGAGTTATCGTGATATTTCGTCAGCAAATTCTGTTTTATGTTTTGGTCAAAATTTTCCGAAGAATTACAGGTCATTCTGATAAACACTCAGGATTATAGACATTTGTATGCAAGGGATACAATCTCATATTTTCTTCTGCCCAGCTGTACAAGTTTGTCGTCTAGTAATTCTACATTAATTTCCTGTCAGGATTGTTAATTCTAATAGACTTTGTGACAAGAAAGGGGATCGTTGACTCACTATCGAATTTAAGTGTGAATAATAACTAAAATGCTTTCATAAAATGATTCAAAAAACAGATTATAAAGGTGTTATCCACAGTTATCGACTTAAGGTGACTACTTTCTAAAATAGAAAATAGGCTAATAGTAGGGTGAATATGAAATTCAACTCATTTTTATTCATGGATAATCCCAATCCAGGCATTAATGAAAACAAAACACGTAGATCAGCGAAGAAACAATCGCAAATATATGTGTGCTATTTTGTATGTATGTGTGCATTAAGTTTGTCAAACAAAATTACAATTGGTGAAGGTTGGTAATACAAGTCAAGAAAATTAAGTGTTAATGAAACTAGGGTAGTAACAAAGGTGATGAGTTGTCACAAACAGTTGTTAAAAGAAGTTATGTAATAACAATATGAATAGTTTAATGAGTGAGTTTTACTCAGGATGCACATAGGAACAAAGTAGATATTACGAAATTATGTAATAGATCTAAATGAATACAAGAATTATGAGCAATTAAAGAACAGGCAAAGAAACAACATTAAATCATCCAAATCAAAAACTCAAATCAAGGCATAAAAAGGTTGTTATCATGACAGTAGAAGTCGTTGAGTAATCTTCTTTTGTATGCACGGCTCCACTTTTTCTATGTGAATGGCCAGAGGTCCAGCGATACAAAGGAAAAAACCGTATTGCCTTTGATAGGTTATTCTTGACTCTGTAGATTACTTTGAAGGAGGCGTTTGTTGAAATGGAATGACCAGTGTTAACCAGGTGTTCAATTATCCCTCTCCCAATAGCACCACTATTGCCTTTTCGCAACCATGCTGGATAGTGTTCTTGAATCCTCTTGGACAGGATGTGCGTCGAATAACCGATGTACCTGGCTCCATAGTAGCAGGTGAACTGAAATATGCACATATTTTGATGACTTAATTTTGTTTCTTTGCCTGTTCTTTAATTGCTCATAATTCTTGTATTCATTTAGATCTATTACATAATTTCGTAATATCTACTTTGTTCCTATGTGCATCCTGAGTAAAACTCACTCATCAAACTATTCATATTGTTATTACATAACTTCTTTTAACAACTGTTTGTGACAACTCATCACCTTTGTTACTACCCTAGTTTCATTAACACTTAATTTTCTTGACTTGTATTACCAACCTTCACCTGTTTAGTTAAAATAACCTTCACCAATTGTAATTTTGTTTGACAAACTTAATGCACACATACATACAAAATAGCACACATATATTTGCGATTGTACACCTAAGAAAATGAATTCCCCGAAAAGAGTTTCTTCGCTGATCTACATGTTTTGTTTTCATTTTTATTCATCATCTGTTTTACCTTTACGCAGAAGTTACGTCAGTTAAACCTTGACAACTTCGTTTGATAGCACTAAGGTCTAGTTCTGAATCCACTAGATTATCTTCTTTTAAACAAGCGCAGACTTGATTTATCAACAAAAGTAAGAGATTCACAACTGTATGAGAAAAAGGGAACGATCTCCATGACACATTCACACGTCTTGCATTCGCCCCCAAGACTATTTACAGCTAAATACAACCTTGCAATCACCAATATCTTTGAATCTTTGTCAAGAAAAGGAAATCACTGCCACGACATGATTAACACTATATTTTCTGATTTTCTATGTGAAAATAATAGGATTCACCTTAAATGTATTATCGGATAGTTTAAGCACCCAACCGTTCTGCAAAGTCAATCTGGAATGTTAATTTTGTATCTAAACCATTAGACAATTACAGTCAGTATATTTTGTTTAAAAAATGTAGTTAACACTTAGGTAATATTTTTGTCGGTATTCACTGTGACGCCTTGGGTTTTAATGTCTCATCAAGTATTAATTGTCTAAACCTTAACCACCCATAAGGTTATTGAAGAATAATTTACAGGGGCGTTTTTGAATCTGAGGCCAATAACCTAACGTCAAGACAAATATGCTCAAGCAGATATCTAAGCCATAGCATAGCACTTTACTATCTGATAGAAACTAATTAGCGCAATATAACTGAGTTATTCTGGTTTATTGAATGGGTATATGCAAATATGGTTATGTGCTTATTTGCAGATATCTCTGTTACAAAGTGTAAGAGGAGACTCTAAGTGATGACACTTTACTTACCACCTCAAGGAAATACCCCAAATAAAATAGTTGTATTTATCTTCACCGCCATGACAGTAAGCTTCTGACCATACGCGTAGTCTACATAGCATGAGGCTAGCAACCCCATCCTGTAAAAAAATAGACACTGCTACGGAAACTTCAAGCTTTCTAGCTTTAAGCCCTGTGTTCCACTTGGAACGTGAAGGAAAAAAACAGAGTGAAAAATAAATTCAAAAAACATATATGTATTTTATGCTTATCATTCTTTAATGATTACATCATTGAATAAAATCAATGACATGCATCATGTTTACCTTGCACCTCAATATTCAACAAGTTGAGAAGAACGAACGAACAGTTAAACAAGAGAATTGAAAAATAACACAAACAGCAAAATCATTATATGTAGGAATTGAGTTGCAGTTTGGAAAAGCAAACAACACTTGATATGTATTTTAATGACAACAGAGAAACTGCTCAATGTATTCTCTCAGTCATTCTTGTTCATCTTCTGTCTGTTCTAAGAGATCGGGAACACACGATATGGATAAGGTTTCACAGCCCTTTTAGGTGATTTTATAAAAAGACATAAGAGGAGTTCGGAAAAATTTCCTCTCATGTTAATGAATACACAGCCACCAAGCATACTGAATGGTACAACTAAAAGACAGGAATACAGATGCATTTTCTCTTTTAAAAAAGTTTCTATAAAACTGGAACGTTATATAATAGCATACGTACGTCATATTAACTAAGAATGGCAGTAATGATAGTAATAATAATAATAATAACTAAAATTTCATAATACAAATTATCAAAAAGAAAGTAAACACAAAAACATCCCGAAAACAAAAAATACCATTTTAAAAAGAAAGCAAAAGTTTGAAGCCATGTGAAAAGTTGGAAAATACTCATCAAAACCAGGAAACAAAAATTCGTGTGTGTGTGTGTCTATGTGATATGATATAGGTGTATTTTAGTATTGGTGTTACACAATGAACGGATAAATAAATAGATATGTGGTTAAGCCAGTTAAGAATTTTAAAAAAAAACTTTTAGAAGGCAGGTCACAGCCAATTCATTTAGTGATTTAAGCGTAAACAGGATTGTCATAATCCTACTAAACAGTCGCTTTTCGATATGTAAATGATTATTTGTAATAGAATGTATGGTATACACTGTGATGCTGATGATGACAACATGATATGTAATGGTGTTGATATGTAGTCCAAAGATTGGAAAACTAGGGCAAGAATTTTGCAATGAAAGATCAAATGCGGTCGGTTATTTCACATAATAAGAGGTCTAATGCAAAAAGAACAAATTGATATGTTGTAATTACTAATGTCTACTAGCCAAAGCTGTGAATACATATGTTGAAAACAAGCAGAGTGTCTTTGTATGAAAAAAAGAAGGGATTCTGCTGGCTTGTACTATTGTAACTCGCTCAATTCAACATAAACAGTTTCACTACATCACAGAAAGAGACAGAGAGAGGAGGCAGATTACCACTATAATTATTATCAGTAATGGTATCACACATTGACTCTATTTACCTACGTGTACTATGTGTTATTGACGAAAATTACTTCATTTATTACTTGTTCCGTTTGTTATTAAATGCACAAGAAATGCTGCCGAAGTATGCGTAGTGTAGAATTTGTCATGAATATGCAGTATTGAGTATGATAGCAATAACAGTAATAATAAGTATAAGAACAATTGTAATACCATGTTTTAATGGAAGCGTATAATTAATGTTCAGTTATTTTATTAGGCAGTAGATTTTTAGAGTATAATATATATATATATATATATATACTTTGGAGGATTAGTGATTTAGTTCCCACTTTGATGTTTTTTCATATGTAGAGTTAAATGGTCACTGCGTGCGAATGCTCGGTGACAAGTTCTGCACTGGAACGGTCGATCACCAGTATGTTTTCTATAATGACGAGTTAATTCATCAGATCTAGCGAATCTCCAAGCACATCCAGGCCAATCGCACGGAAAAGGTTTTTCTCCAGTATGGACACGCATATGAGCCTTTAGATGTGAGCTCTTAGAATATGCTTTCGCACAAGTGCTAAAAGGACAGGTATGAATTAGAGCTATCGACTTCTTAGTTCTGCCAGTAGGATTACCTCCAGTTCCTTTAACCGATGCATCACCCTTCGATTTGTTAGTCCTTGTGCGACGCACTGGTGTCAGCGAAATTCCTCCGGCCCCCTGCATACTACATCCTAGCATATCTTGCTGAGGTGAAACACTCAATTTCATGCTTTTCCCTCTACCGACGTGATTATGGTTATGAGTCGACATTAATGAAGGGTTTCTGTAAATAGTATTGTCACATGTAGTATTACTCAATGATGTGAATCCAAGATTGTGGCCTGGTGATGCAGTTCTGGGTGCTAGTACTCGAAAAGTTGTATTCATTGGAAGATTAGCATCATCAACTTTATACATGTTCATATAATATCCAGCATTTTGTGCTCCGCTGCTATAGTCCTGTAAATTGTTAACTGCATGAACAGGAGTAACTGTAGTATTGTCACTTATGTTATTTATAACAGAGCAGGTGGGAGGCAAAGAATGAAGTTGTGAATGATCAGCTCTATTGTTCTGCGGTAGGTAAACTGTTGTAACGGTATTTTCAGCCATAATACTAGGATTCATAGAACTGGTGAGATTTGTAACATTAGGATAAAAGCGTAGAGAAGCCTGATCTTGATTCTGTAAACCTGATTGACAATTTTGAAAGGGATCCATTGGAGGCATATCTGTTGTTGGGATAACCGAAGGCATATAAGCAAGAGAAGAGGATGAATGTTGAGATTGTAAATCACTTGATCTTACATCATTCGTTGTTTGTATGTAATGATCTGCCTCCATCACACCATTACAGCTTGAAGCATAATTACAGGCATTTGGTACGTTTGAAGTCCAATTATACGAATTATTTTGATTAATATCTGAACAATGTTTATACTCAGAACTTTCAGGGAAAATTGGCTCTTGTTTGATTTCAACCGAGGAGTTATTTGAACCAAGATCATAATAATACTTCCCATTGGAACTTTTAAAGGTAGAATTTTGTGCACAAATCACATCTGTGCAGACTGGTGGTCGGACTTGAGATACTGGAGATTTGGTATAAGAATAATTGACATTCATAACAGAATTAGGATATGTACAGTTACACAGATTGGACATGTTCACAGATTTCTGTGTAACGGTACTATTCTCAAGAATAAAGTCTAAGTCCAATAGACTTTCATATTCATTACTTGAAGTACTGCTGCTACATTGTTCCATGCGAAAACTGCTTCCTACTGATGAACATTGCTCCGAAGCTGCTGGTGATGTTAAACCCGACAGATTACACATATACGCTCCTCGTGACTGAAAAACAGGATTTTAAAAAAAACGCTTCAGTCAGTAAAAACGAAGTTGTTATGAGTATTTTATTTACAAAAAAAAATAGCATTTTGATTAGCACAATATAATGTACAAAAGTGCATAAGCACAGGGAATTGATGATTGAAATGAGAAAGTGAAATGAGAAAGCCAGCAGTCAGCAAGTTACTGGCTGCCACAATTGAGGTACAATACTGACTTGGTCTTAACTTCACATCAATCACCAAAGATTTATTTCGACTGTCATATATATAGAAGGTTATAGTAATTCATGTGTACGTCGCTTGATTTATCACTACAGAATGAGAACCAATTTGACATGACGATGATTGAACACCAATCTTATAGCTTCGATTGTAAAAGAAATAACAGAAAAATATTAATGGAATAACTTTAACTAATATTCATTAAATTTTAGAAATGTAAACTTTAGTTGTACAGTTACCATTCCTCACAAGGACAAACACCGAATGTTTAATATCTATTAAAATATAATAAACTACTGATGGCTGCATTTCAGGTCACAGTATAAGTTCAAATTCTGAAACAGTCACTATCTTCACCAGCTTTTTAACGAACGCATCAGAAATACGTACCCATGACTCCTGAAGAGTCCTAAACAAGGCAGAAGCACCTGTTCTGTACTCCCTGGTTTTCGTTTGACTTCTTTCTGATTTTCTTTTGTGGTGAATACTAATTTGAAATCAGTCATATCAGACAGAGAAAAACAACAGTTAAAAGGTATCTGTTATCTGTTTTGAAACTCTTTGTTATATTTGGAAAATCTTACAGTCGTATTTGATTACTTCAATCACATCAATCAAGTCAACTACCTGGTTAAGTTGATACAGATTAGACTAGCATACTTCATAGCATACGTATCGACTTTTTAAATGTTAAAAATTATTACACTAATAATTAGGGAAGGAATTCACTTTGCATTCAGTAATTAGTTGGCTAGAATGTGTAGATAATTGATACTAGTTGGAAAGTCATACGGTTATTCGTTCAAACAACAAACATTAAAGATATATTCAACTCAACTAATTAACAGAATAAGATTTTGTAGCTTTTAAGATAACGTCGTAAAAGAGACAGAAAAAAATTGATTTTCCTCTAAAATTTTGCCTTCCTATTTCTTGATTCAAGAGGTGAACACGTGTTCCTTTCATCAATTTCAAGCTGTAAATATAAATGTTAAGAAAAACTAAATCTACTACCTCTTAACAATGAATAAGACCATTGGTTTTTATGTTGAATGCAATAAACCAGTCTTTTGTAAACTTGCAGGTCCTTACATTTTCCAGAATAACATATATAAAGTCTTGATAATAAGAGCATTATCAGTATTATAAATTTAGGATAGTTAAAGGGTAAATAATACCGCTCATAAAATGTTAAAGGACTGCATTAAGTGACAGAGACTTTGTTTTTATTCATTTTCGTGCATACCTCTATCGATCACTGATTAGTTTTCTCCCATTCGTCTGGTGAAGGAAAGAACGGCGAAGTTTAAAATTATGATACCTTTTTTTTCCAACAAACAATGCTATTTCTCAATGTTAACTTACACAGCCATCAGCTTACTACTAAACGATTAGATATCAGAGTAATAGCGGTGTTGCTAGCGCCAGTACACTAAGATAACACAAGTATTAGTCAAAATGCTACCAGTTTCGATAAATTTCACTAAACATAGGGGTAACTTTAAAAAGCTGAAAATATTTTGAAACATAAGGAAAATATAATCTTAGAAATATAGCCTAAAAGTAAGCAGCATTTCATTTTATCTCGAAATTCTAAATGTGAATCCAAGATACAAAACGATGCTGGGGATTACCTGGAACTGTCAACTGAGAACAAAACAGTTTCCCAGTACTCATCGGTTTGTGACGATTTTAAAATACAAGTCGCTGGATTATAAAGTGGAGATACAACATTTATTTTTCTTATTCATATAAACAATCAAGCTGAAAGAAGAAACAGAACTACGGAATGGAACTAAATCGGTAAGTAACCGTCAGAGGATACTAGTAACCAATTTACGCTGCTCCAAAATGCTACTGAACTTTCCACTGTCAAGAATAAGTTTAAAACTGACTTGGTAAAGAAACGAATCATACCATATGAGTCTCTGAATAACCTCAAATTGTATAAAATTCCTTGAATGCTACAATCGTGTATGTGTACGTTCATAGGTTGATTTAAGGGATTATTGAAGAGGTTATTCATTCACACGTTAATAAACACGACGACTGTCATCTGAAAATATCATCAGACAGTACTCAGATATCTGAGTCTGAAACAGATGCTTTCCAATAAACATGGATACTGGTCTTTATTATGAAATTGCAGGTGATGTGTGAGAAAATACTTCACAGTCAAATAACTACTTCTCTAGCCCCGGATTTCAGTGTCTATGGACAACAAACAATAAAGATGATAATGTACTGAAACACTGCACTAGAGTCTCAGTTAATTCACCACTTACCAGATGAATGGACAGTAAAAAAAAACCCAAATTAAAACCATTTTAAACAGTAAAGTCAAACAAAGCTACTGACAGAGAGAAAATGCATGAAATAGATTTTCATCCTTTTCCATCAGCATCAGCTTGAAATTAAGCTTCTCATAAGAATACGACCAGAACAATATGGAGTACATTTCTGTTTATAACTCGAGCTAACAGTCATGAAAAAGATCTTTCTATGGCCATCAAGATCATTATTACCAGAATTCCGTTTGCCCCGTCTACCTAACCTATTGGAGTAAAACACAATACGTTCAGCTTCAGTTAGGTTAATACACTCATATATATACCACTTGATGAATTTAACCTTATAAGTGAATGGAAAACTATATTCAATACTGTTTACTCTGAGAATTCAAATAAATTTATTACGTACTGCTACCGATATCATTTGTGGTTTCTTTTCGCTAACTGTCTGCTACTAAACTGAAAACAGTGTGAAAACCTCTAATCATTTTGTCGAATGTCAGTATACAAGTACTATAAAATTTACCCTACACAAATATCTAGATAAAGACAGTAGAGAAACTCTTTCTTTTTCCTCTAAAGAAGTTCCTTTTAGTACACGCTTTAAATGACATATAATGTTTTGCTAAAAAGAATTGGTGTATTGACTTTTTCGCTGGATATTTATGAAGTTAAGCAGAGGTTTTCAGTTACCTATCGCTTCATACTTGTATACAACTTTAAATGAACTATTGAGTATCAGATTACACTTCAGACTGTTCGATTTTATATTGCGACTATTTGAGTATACAGAAGAACCCAGAGTATACCTGAAAATAAAAGTAGATAATTCCATAGTTAGAATTATCCAGTTTATTTTACATTGCATATGTATGTACCTTCAGTTTGACAAACATATTACTTTTTACAGACCACTGTACATTATGACATAGTGCTTCACTGAGAAATTAATTCGAATTCTACGTAGATCTACTAGAAAAGCACGATGAGCCCTTTAAAAATGAGTTCTAGAGGTTTTGAACCTTCTTTGGTACGCTTTTGAGATCACAAGACAAGAATATCTGCGTGTACATTCACACTCCAGTTAATTCTATTTATCTACATTTTTTCAACAGTTTCCACTACATACGTAGATAAAAATTGATTTTTCAGTTGCTGAATAAGTTTTATATGAGTACTTATAGCAACCTTTTCAAAATATGAATAAGAACACATGAGTCAGCAAATAGATCTCTTTTCATAACCTTGCTTCAGAGCTGTACAGCTTTTTTGATGATTATATATATACAATACAGGTTGGCGACAGTGGTCAAACGTTACTGTCAGTTAATAAAAAAGACAAATAAAAAAACATACTAATAAGCAATCCTTAAGGAGAAACTCAAACTTCATGTTCGGAAACGTTTAATCCAGCCTAAACCACTACCATGGCCTTAGTACAATTTTTCTTTTTTCTCTTCCTTCTATCTTGCAATAACTATATAGTAAGCTCTATTTAGTGCGTTCTGTGTTTATACAACTCGTTTTCAATCTTTTGTTCTCTTGTCTATTATCAACTATCTTCAAACATCTATTCACCACTCAAATAGTTAGTTGTCAACCTTCCTGAGCATAGTTATCATTCATGCACTTTCATTTGCCTTGTTGACAACTGATAATAACCTCTGACCTTTGTTATCAATCTACATTGTGTATATAATCATCAAAATAACTGTACATCTTTGAAGTGAAGTTATGAAAAGAGGAGAACTCTTTGCTGACTCATGTGTTTTTAATTACATGAAATGAGAATTTTTCGTACCTAAAAGAAATATGAAGAAATCCTGAAAACAATAAAGAGCTCATTTATCTCGACCAATTAGTGCCTAGCGTATGCTTCCAACATTTATGGCATACAGTCATCTCGAGAACTTCTCCTGCCATGCTATGCTTAACAGTACCTAGTGTCGTTATTTTCGATGGCTTCGGTTGCATATCACCAGAATATCAAAATGCATATCTGCGAGTATCTTCATTACAACACAGCATTACCGTTGTGGAAAAAAATGAGTAAAAATGATTTTTTGAATAGTACTGACCTTAGAATACCGTTAGCACATTAACAGTTTATGAGTATGAAGTATCAGGTCCCATTCACAGTTTTCAACTATAGCAGAATTAATTGTGAAAATGTTAGATACTATGTAGATTAACCTCCTGTTGCATAGAAATCATTTTGGAAGATGAAATCCTTCCATTTAGACAGAGCATAGAAAAATACAGCAGTGTAACTAATAAGAGTTTTAACAATACACACTACTCCGCATTCACTGTTACCCTCCCCTAATTGCCGTCATGTGACTGGAGTTATAGTTTCCGAAATCGGAAAGAAATATTTAGATTGGAGAAGTCTGATTTTATGAGTTACAGAATGAACACCTTATTGAGCGTAAAATTTAGACACTGTAGTAGAATATAGTTCCATAACAGAATAAATAAATTTTATAAAACACACAGTTACAGGATTATTTACTGATCGCATGTCGATCATGATTTGTTGGGCAAATAATCATATCGCCTTGATATGAATACTATATTGGTGAGAGAAGAGATCACCTCAAATAACTTACTTGACAAGAGAGACATAACTGTGATCAAGTCGTTACGATGCCTGAGGTCTCTGCCAGAAACCAAGCATCCTGTGTTTATTTTTACACAGTAAAATTAATACGTCATTAAGTTATTATACCTCTACAAACATACTGAGTGACATAAAATTTTACCTGCTACCTATGACATATGATTGATATGCTAAAATTCAGAAAAAATAAGTGGTACACAGAAAAATCCTTAGACAAAAGCATTCGTGTTCACTTGTCAATACATTACGTAGATGTAGAAAGTTTTTGAGATTATTTATGATAAAATGAGTCAAATACAAACATTATGAGTCGTAGTGAATCGAATATATATTTACGAATAGAAACAGATGATAGACAAAATCACACAGTGAAAAGGAATGTACTCCTTTAGTTATTTTTCTTTGGCCCGTGGTAGTGTATTGTTTAGATGCTTAGCAAGAAACAGAAACTGGTGAACGAATCAGCACTAGTGACATAACCATGACAAGATAAAAAGAACTTTAAAGCCATTTTATCTTCCCTCAGGATTTTTCAGGAGTGTACACCCACTGCAGTGCTCTGTGAGGCACTGAACATGGACAAGTGGATTACCTTTTTCTTTGAGAGGGAAAAACTGTTGTGCGACAAGTACGTGTAGATACTCTTACTCGTCAACTCACAATTACTTGAATAACGTTACACATATAAACGAACTGTACTAGAAAAATTGTACGAAACCTGAGACGAATACCAGTCAGTGTTATTAGTAGAGAAATAAAACTTAAGCAACAAACTTATCTTAGGTTTACTATCAAAGATTCACAAGGACTAAACTCACTTTGTCCAATAGCTATATATTTCATTCCCAACTGATAAGGTGAGGACTTGACGAAATAAACTTAAGGGTAGATGATAACATCTGCAAAGTTCGAAAAAGTACCAGCAGCTAAAAGAAACAGCCCCCTAACACCAGTTCTGTAGCATAATACAAAAACGATCACTGTCTGAATTCCTTATATTTACAAGACCATCTTATTTATGCTATTAGGTCGGTTGAGAAAGAATTCAAACTATCTTGTTAAGATTTTAAGCTAATAGTTGTATGGAAGAAGCGATGACTGGAACGTACTGAATTAATAGAGATCTAGGTAACTGCTTTTGAATCTATTATTCTATAATGAATACATATGCTAGTCGTTCTAGTGTGGACGTCATAAATTCTGTTGATTACGCCAGACATATGCACAGAACACAGAATTCAGTGAGTATAAGAAAAGTCACGACCTCAAACGAGAACAAATGAAAGCTGTTGATTTAACTCTTCTTACAAATCAGCAGTCTCTTTCATATTCATCTACCATTTACGTACCAGGTTGTAGGAATATGCGACTTTATGTTCTCGACACAGATGTGAACCATCAGTACATATGATTTGTATATTATAAGGTGCAAAAATGCTGAAAACTAATTCTAACTAAAATAGATGCTTTTCAACCGACATAGTAGTGTTATTTGTACAAGTGGATCAACTACTGGAAAGCATACATCTAATGATTTGCAATACAAACTATACTACAACCGGGTATCATCATTTATCATACAACAGTAGAACCATTTTGTTGTACTTGTTCACCACTTAGTAACATGTACTTGGAAACGAAATCAGTTGATTTAAATTCCTTAGTGTCGTAGACTTTACTCAAGTTAGCACATGACAACTAGTTATCTGTCTGCGGCATCAATGTTTAGTAAGCTCTGAAGAATAGAGGTTTGAGTAAGAGAAGATTAATCAAATCCTCTTACTTCACAATAAATGATAGGGTCAAACATGCCCTGACTTTATAATCACACTGGATTGATTAAGTCAATTTTCTTAAACCAGAAACATTATAAAGGACTTGGTATTTATTTCTCAAAAAAAACTTGGTTATCGCCAAAACGAAAATGAAAAACATCTAATTTCGCAAAACAAAACTTAGTGAAAATGTCAGTTCAACAACAACTATGTTTAACTCACCTTACAGTCATAAATTTCTTCACGTTTCAGTGGACTAGAATGTGTATCATAGAACCCTTCAAAACCCATTGCCATCATTTCAGTCATGTTTGTCCGTTGCAGATTTAAGTAAAAATGTTAAAAATATTTTATGAAATACAACTCCAGAGGTGATGATGCTGTACCAACCCAGGGGAATGACTACATCGGCAGAGGAAGTGCTCACCTCAAATAGCTCCGAAGTGATTCAGAATTTGCTATCTTCTCATAAAGTGTCTTAGTGAACTCAAAACGTTTTTCTGATTGGTTAAAAATTTAGCCTTGACAAACAGGATAGACCTGTCCCAGTGACCTTGTGTCCGACTAACCAAACAGCTGTAGAAATGTTTATGGTCTAATAATCATACTACTGTCTATGCATTGGTCAGAGCGTACGATAAACACATGAGCAAGAGCAAAAGTAAGAAATTTATATGAAAAATGAATTCACGTGGGACATATATGAGTTGGGTAACTACCCTAGGACAACTACATCTACCTTTAGTTTAATCCCTTTCTACCCTTAAATTCTAGAATGAGTCACCTCATCTAAATGACAGTTGGGCAAGAAAAAGGGAAAACAATAAAGTCTACGGCGAATTGAATTTTTAAAAATGAGTCATTTCCAATTTACGTGCCTTATAATGGCTAATGTTAGTTGACTTAATTTAATAATATCAGGTGGTATTATTGTTCTCTAAGCCTACGTTTCTCAAGAAGCTATAGTCTACCCTACTCTGTCAAAAATTATAATATGAACAATAAATTCATTAAACTTTTCAATGACTTTTTTGATTAAATGTTTTAGTTAGGCTTAATACTCTTCTCTTAAGAAAAAATTATTATTGTAAATAAGTGGCTAATAATTTTCAAAGGCTAATTATTGTGTGACATGACCTGTAGTCCAAATATTACTGAACAGCTATTCAGTTGTATACTTAATTTGAATTCCCTTGCATAAGCCAAAAGAATTGAAGGTTCCCAACGGTATAAATAACCATTGATACTGGGAGCATGAACATACTATGTACCAGTATAATTTACTCATATCTACTACAAGGATTAAAATAACTCCATGCATACCTAAATGCAGATACTCAACATCCATCTGCCGTGTTCTGTTGTGGCAGCTATCGTAGTAGGTATAAACGGCATGTAGTTTCGCATCGCAATATTCATTGTAAAATGGAAAATCTCCATAGATTTATCTTAATTCTTCACCCACTAGATAGTATAGCAAAATACAAAACACTTCTTAACAAAGTTATTATGGTAGTCTCATACTTGGTGAATGAAGTGAAATTTCAGCCTGGTTTCAGGTACATCACAGTAACTTGGATCATAAAATAATGTAAAGGGTAAGTTGTGCGGGTACAAGTTAACAACTGAGGAAACATTTGCACCAAAAAACGATACATTAATAACAGTCAATAAATCTGTTCCGGATAAATTTTTTTCTTTCTTTCACGTTCCCCAGTGGAATATAGGGCTTCAAGCTAGTGGGCTCGAAGTTTCTGTACCAGTGCTTATTTTACACGGTGGGGTTGCCAGCCTCATGCCCAACCATTCCTCTTTACCAGCATTATTTCTGGCTTAGCGAGGTAAAGGAGTGCGTCGGTGGCCGAGGATCGAACCCCGGACCACGTGCATGGTCGGCGGGCGTCCTAACCGCTATGTCACTGACGCACATTCCAGATAAATGAAACCTGATATTTTAAGATATTTTTGTCTAGGACAGCTTTGAATCGAAGCTACAGTTTTATACAGATTTATTCACTGATCTGTTATTTATAAACTTTTTACCATATCTCTTGAGTGAGCTGAAAATATAGCTGCGTCGGTGGCACAGTGGTTAGGACTCACGCCGACCATGCACATGGTCCGAGTTCGATCCCCTGCCGACGCACACCTGATATCTATGGTCGGCCTGCAAAATTTGGGCCACCGACATCACATGTTGAAAATTCCATACTTGTACCGAAAATACGGTGTGGAATCAAGCTGTAATTAAAAAAAAGTAACAAGCAACTCCCGCTCATTTGAATGTTATTTAACAAATAACATGAAACTCATAGAGTTTTAAATTTTGGACACCCCAAATGGTATGAATAGTAAAGATATAAATTTTGTATGCCATTTAGTGCTAATCAGAATCAGCAAAATTTATATTATTTTCCCCCTTAATTCCTAGAGAAACATAGGGCTTCAGCTGCACGTCTCCATTTCGTTGGGTTCTCTGCAAAGTTCTCACCTGGCTCCAACTCTGCCCACATGCTTTTATCTCCTCTTCACATGACCTCCTCCAAGTCACCCGTGGACGACCACGGGAAGAACTGCTCAAACCCATTAACAGTTGACCCTTAGCTGATTGAGGTGATCTAAATATGAGATACCCATTTCATTTGTTTATTACACAGCTTATAAACAGTGCAATTTATTAGAATTTAGTTGGTTTCAACTGACTGAGTCCAAAGAGCTGAATCACTTCAGGTACATAGGAAATAAATATCACTACAAATAAGTGAAACATACTACCCAGGTTAAGTCACTCAGACTTGTCTGTCAAGCACTACTGGTGGAAATATGGAGATGTGACTGATTGGCATAAACAACTGCCTTTCGGTAAACGACCTCCAGATTCCAGTCCCATCCCACTTACTTCAACCTGGATAACCGAGTACCATCGTTTAAGCTCATACAATGATGTGTCTTAAAATGTAGTCTGAATTAACTAAGCGGGTGTGTATGATTAGTTCTTAACTGCATAAATTACTCAGCAGCATATGAGTCCACACATTTATATTTGAAATGAGAATTGATTAATCCTCTATCCTGTATAGTAATTTTACAACCAAGATGAAATTATCTTGAAAACAGATAATTACATCCGTGTATTTCATGTAACGGTTTGGCGAGATATTTAACGATTGGAGTAAAATCAAAGCTGAATTAAAATTGCTTTATAGCAAAATATGTAAAAATCTCAGTTAATTTTTAGGACTGAAACCATCCTACAATGCAAGTTGTCTCTGTAGTCCATACTGTATCATACAAACTTGATAATGTTGAATAAACAAGTAAAAAGGGGACTATATACAATGTGTCCCTTGATATGCATCATGAATCACAAACAATTTATCATTATTTAGAAAAAATGTACCATGCATTTCATTTACTGAAGCGTTTTTATTTGTTTCATGATCTGATTTATATGAACATTAATAGGAAATAATGACTCAGTTTTGTTTGTTTAAACTGTGACATGTTAAGAAAATATAATATAAAAATTGTAAACTAAACTATAAATTAAAATTTCACCACTACTTGTATTTTACGTGTAGTAACACTTGTGACTTCGTAGTGTTTACTTTCCTGGACTAAGGTAACTGGGATATGATGTTGTGAATTGATTCTAATATGATTTTATTCATCAGCTGGTGTGGGCTGCAGTAGAATCTTGGATGCATGGTCCGACTCCGCAGTTAAATTAACTTCTTGAAACGAGAGATAGCACCATTGCTCATTGGTCTGAAAGTACATGTCATTATGGGTCAAATTTATTTTGATAGTGTTATACAGTAATATTTGCTGATTTTATTGCAAATTTTACTGTATAAAACTGTAAGACTTTATCTAAACAAATTTTACCCATAATGGAATTATACTCTATCACAGTGCACAAGTTCTATTCTTATATCAACTAAGGTAGATCCATCTAACAAGTATATGATCCAATAAAACTTACATCTTGGAGTGAGAAATAATCATTAAGCATTCATGGTTTTTTTTTCAGATATGTCGGTTCGGTCCACATTCTTCCTATTAAAATAAACTGAGAGTGTTTAGAGAAAATATGAAATGTTTCTCATACCTTATTTTTGGTGCATAATTTCAGTAAATAGGGGTGTAATGCCTACATTATTATTAATCATTGCAATTTAATGATAAGTAGATTAGAGTGTTGCTGTAGGATTCTCGATATATGATGAAGTATGAAGTTTGTTGATATCTTGGAGATTACTATATTCATACCACAAATTATGATGTTTTCACAGCTTTGCATAGTATCCAATGTAGCAAGAATGAAAACTCCATGGTACAAATTATCAGTTGTTTTATGCATCTGAACATAACCCATCATAATCAGTAATGATTACTCTCTGGATAAAGGTAATATAAATAAGTGTAAATTAATAAACGACTAGTCTTAATCTCTTTTAGGAAGGTGATGCGTAAATGTGATTTGCTCGCACTGATTTATTTGACCTGCTGATTATGTTTCAATAATGAAGATTATTTCAAAATTTACTTACCATGGAATATTACACGCATTGCACTTTTTCTTCTGACTTCATTTAAGGTCTTAGGTAGGTTACAGTTTGCATGCTAAATGAGTAGCTGTACAAAAAAAACCTGATTGTATTTTAGAAAAAAACTCAGAGTCTCGAGAATACTTTATTCGTTTCTATCTATTACAAGTTGAACTGAGAATTCAGTAAGTTTGTAACATCCCCATCACCTGGGACTAAATTGTCAAAATTAGCATCAAACGAATTGGACAGTCCTATAGAGCTAATATCATTGAAGTCTGTCAAGGAAATGAAATTGATGGCTTTGAATAGTTGTAAAGTACACCTATCAGTCAGTAACACATTTCACAACCATAACCTGTGACATAGCGGTTAGGACGCTCGCCGACCATGCACATGGTCTGGGGTTCGATCCTCGGCCACCGACGCACTCCCTTACCTCTCTAATCCAGAAATAATGCTGGTAAAGAGGAATGGTTGGGCATGAGGCTGGCAACCCCACCCTGTAAAATAAACACTGCTACAGAAACTTCAAGCCACTAGCTTGAAGCCCTATATTCCACTGGGGAACGTGAAAGAAAAAAAATAACCTGAAACTCGGCGTATTTTATAAAGTGTATTGTAGGATTATAAAAACTGTAAGGCTGATAGACGCATTCATCAGTTTTGCATGCATTAGCACGCATCAACAAAGGTTATTTGAGATCTTGTGATTATATAATCATTTAAATTAATTAAAGGTAAAATTAATTTCCAAAGCCTTGTCAACCAACTCGGCTCATGTAAAACCGTCGTACATAATCATTTAAATTAGTCTTATGAAAGTAAAATAATAAAAATGAAGGACACACTGGTTTATCTATGGTGTATTTATCAGTTCAACTGTTACCTTGCAGCCAAGCTCAATAGCTATACCCGAAAAAGCACCTC